TGTGAAAGGCTTGAAAAAGATAATTAACTAATTCTTTCATTACTTTGTATTTAAAATATTAAATAATATTATATTTTACTATTTTAATTTATGTGTTTTTGTCTTTTTGATTTGCAGAGTTGCCAACTGGAGCTAGGAGTGCTGGAACTTCCCTATCCACCATTGCAGTAATGTTCATTCATTCTGCTCTCAGTTTTATATTTAGTTGTTATTCTGTTCTCTTAGAAGATTAGATTATCATAATCTGTTATGAGTTTTGACTTATATGAATTCAATTATGTAAGTGAATTTTAGATGTACATGACAATGGCTTCATTGGCTTGGCAACAATTAACTTGTTACTGCCTTGAATCCTTGGCCCCTTCCACTTGAGTCAACAACAGGTTACAAGTATAACAATATCAGTTCAGTATGAATTCTGTTTGCATATGTTAGCCTAATCTGATATGGTATTATGATTCTACCTTACTCTTTTACCTATTAATTTTTTTTATGTTATTTAACTCTGTTTTAAGTTTGCATCTTAAGCAGGAGGATGAGGAATGCTGAATTGCTTGAGACTTGATTTGCTGACTTGCTGTTGCAGACTTGTATGCTGAACTATCTTTTGTAAACTTGAAAAATGTAATTAAAGTTTTGTAGCATGTTTAGTCTATAAGTTCATTAAGTTGTATGAGTTTTGATTTTTAAGTTGTAAGTTTCTAAGTAGTTAGTAGTTACTACTTAGCTAGTTAGCTAACTTAGCTTTACTTAAACCCATTTTGCTGATTTACTTATTTAGTACTTAATTTGTATTTTTTCTCCAACCCGATTCAATCCGAACACAACCGTCCGTAATCCGAATTTGAAATATCCAATGAGTTGAACCCTAAAAAATAAACGGATAGGGAAATAATCTGTCAATCCGAAATTCGATTCGCCCGAACCCGTCCGATGCACAATCCTACATTTAAAAAAAAAAAAAAAAAAAAAAAAAAACCAATTATGGGCATCTGTATTCTACCTAATTTTTTTTTAAACTCAAGTGTTAGTTTGTTTTGTTGTTCTCAACTGAAATGTATACATGTATTTTGTCCTACTTGTGATGTTAGCATGTTCATTTTGTTGTGTTCTATGCTAAAGCTTTGTGAGGACTTCCGATATAAAGCAAAAGGACACACCCCCTGTAGTTTAATAGAAAAAAGGGGAAATCATACAATATTCAATAGAAAATGGGGAAATCATATGGGACCATTTGTACTTGCATGGAAATGAATATATATATTTTGTGTTAGTTTCCCAAAATTTTTTAAAAGCAGTGCATTTACTTTTTTAACCGTATGCAGTTCTGTGTTGTTTTTGTGTGGTTGGGACCTATGAAGCATTTAGTTGTTGGGACTATTTTTAGTGCAATTACTTGTTTGACTGCAAGTACACCATTTTTTGTTTTGGAAAAGCTATAAATAGAATTGTTTTACTGCATTTTATAGATGTTGGTGAAGCAGCTTCTGTCTTTAGCATAAAATTCCATATTGGTGGGGATTTAGTATGGCATCCAACAGTGGGTTATAGGAATGGTGGAGTGGAGTATTTTGACCATTTCAATTGTCATGAGGCCAGTTTACTAGATTTAAGGAGAATGATAAAACAATTGAGGTTCTGTGATAGAAAAGTCCAGTGTTGGGCTATGGTTAAGGGTAAGGGTAGAAAGAAGCCAACGAAAACTGATCTGAAGCCTCTAATAAATGATGAAGACATAGTCAGTTTAGTTGGAGAGCTTCCACCAAACAAGGAGTTTGAAATATTTGTTGAATATTTATTTGATGATCAATGGGATTATGATGTAGAGCTATCTAGGGAATTGGGAGATGATTGCCTACTCTATGATGAAATAAACGAGAGTGCTGAAAATGTAGTTGAGGAGGATGAGGTAGAAGGTGAAAATGAAGGTGAGGAAGACCATAATTTTATGGATACTAGGACAAGTTCTAAACAACTGATGGCTAATGCTGGGCAGGAAGGGGATGAAGTTCAGGAAGTAGATTTTGAATTGTCTGAAGAACTGTTTAGGAGTTTAGAAAATTCAGATGATTCTGATGGTGGATTGACAGCTGGTGAAAATGTTTTCCAAGAAAGAAATCTGGAAAAAGAAGGCTTTAAGTTTGTGATTGGAATGATTTTCAAATCAGCAGCTGAGTTTAAATGGGCTGTTAAGTATCATGAGGCAAATAAGAGAAAAGATATCCACTTTGTAAAGAATGAAGGTAGAAGAGTCAGGGTTGTGTGTAGACATAATGACATTTGCAACTGGACTATTTTTGCCTCAAGAAGCAATCCAAGAAGTCCATTGCAGGTTAAGACATACAATCCAGAGCACACATGTGGGGATCAAGATGAGAATAAAACAGTGAACTCTGGTTTTTTTGCCAGAATGTACAAAGACGACTTTAAACTTAACACAGAATGGGGTAGAATACAATTTCAAGAACATGTTAAATCAAAGTTGAAATGTCAGGTTACTAAACACCAGGCTTATAGAGCTAAAAAAAAAAAAAGGCTCTAAAGCAATTAGAAGGTGATGATTCTGAATAGTTCCACTTACTTAATGATTACTGTGAGGAATTGAAAAGAAGTAATCCTGGAACTTCTGTGAAGATGAAGGTTGATGGAGAGTTTACTGTAAATGGAAGACCAAGGTTTCTTAGGCTGTATATTTGTTTTGCAGCTTGCAAAGAAGGGTTTTTGAGAGGATGTAGACATTTCTTTGGGTTAGATGGTTGTCATCTTAAGGGTTGCCAGAAGGGCGGGCAATTATTGACTGCTGTAGGTCTTGATGGAGATAACAGCTTGTTCCCTATAGCATTTGCTATTGTTGAGGGAGAATTGAAGGAGAGTTGGTCATGATTCTTAGAGCGACTGGACAATGATCTTAACATTTCAAATAATCCCCATGCTTGGACAATAATTTCAGACAAGCAGAAGGGATTGATTCCTGTTGTTGAAGAAATGTTTCGTGGAATTGAGCATAGATTCTGTGTAAGGCACATGCATGCTAACTTTGTAAAGGATGGTTTCACCGAGAATGTACTGAAACAGAAACTGTGGGCAGTGTGTAAAGCAACAACAGAAGCTGAATACAAGAGGCAAATGGAGGAGTTAAAGGGATTAAATGAGAAGGCTGCTGACTGGTTAGCTGCAAGGGATGCTAAACACTACTGTAGGGCTTTTTCAGTACATTTCCTAAGACTGATTTGCTCTTGAACAATTTGTGTGAATCATGGAATGGTACTATCCTAAATTTCAGAGACAAACCACTTTTAACTATGTGTGAGAAGCTAAGGATCTATCTTATGACTAGAATGCAGAAAAATAGAGAAAGACTTAGAAGTCATCCTATGAAGATTTGTCCAAAGATATGTAAGTTGATTGAAGAGGAAAAAGACAAGGCATCTAGGTACAGTACATATAAGTCTACAGAAAACATTTACCAAGTTGATGATGAGAACTTTAAGGCCTTCAAGGTGGACTTAAATCAGAGACATTGCAGTTGTAGAAGGTGGGATCTCACAGGCATCCCTTGCAGTCATGCCATTTCAGCTATAAGAAAACAAACGGAAAGCCCAGAAGACTATGTACATCAGTGTTATACAGTGGAGTCTTATTTGAAAGCATATGAGCCAGCAATACTGCCTATTTCATCTTCAGAGTTGTGGCCCAAAACCAATCTTCCAGCTCCACTCCCCCCAAAATATAAGGCACAACCTGGGAGGCCTAAAAAAAAGAGAAAGATCAACCCTCTTGAAGAGAACAAGAAAGATAGCATTGCACTAAGAACAAAGAAAGATGGGGAAGTCAAAAGGTGCAGTGTTTGTGGAGTGAAAGGGCACAATAAAGCAACTTGCAAAAAAAAAAAAAAAAAAAAAAGAATCCACAGGTACTTGTTTCCAGTGAGTAATCCATATTGTAAATATAACTTGCTTATTTTTTAATGTTATCATCTGTAGGTACCTGAGATTAATGAGGTAGTAGCTGGACATAGTGATGTACAAATTGAAGGCCAGTTAGAAGATATAGCAGTTGAGACACAAGTCCCATCTTTTGTACTTGATGAGATGGTAATTGAATGAACTACATACTTTGAGCATTTAATACTGAAACTTTCTCGGTTGAATTTACTGTTTTTTCTGATGTAATTTCAGGAGTTAATGACATCTCAACCAACACAAGTAGCTCATAGGCAAGGCCCTCCACTGTCAAACTTTATTTCCTCACAACAGGCTGGAAGTTCTACTCCAAATGTCATCACAAGATCAGGGAAGAATTTTGTAACGGTTTCAAGCCTATAACAGGCTCATGCAGTCCAAAGAGAGGCTAGGAAAAAGAGAACAACTGAAAAGAAGAAACAAAACTGAAAGTGCAGTTTGGTCTATTTTTGTATAGTCATATGGAATTTACATGTTGTAGAAGTGACTTTGGTTTACTTTGGTCTAATTTGGTAGTAGTTGTCACCTTTGTAAACTTTGATATGTGATCAACTTTGATATGTGATCTTTTGGTAAAGTAAACCAAACAATGACACTTTTGTTAACTTCAACATGTTAATGAATGACTTTTGTTAATCTTTATTTGTTAACTTTACATCTTAGCAGTTTGGTTTGCAGTTTTTGGTCAGTAGCAATGTAACATATATTATTCAACTTGGCAGTTGGTTTCTGGCAGTAGGCAGTAGGCTTGTGGCCTTTGGTTTGGCAGTTGGTTTTTGGCTTTTGGTTTGACACACTCACTTGGAGTTTAGCAGTTTGGTTTTTGTGCATCTTAGCAGTTTGGTTTGAACTTTTTGGTCAGTAGCAATGTAGCATATAGTATTCAACTTGGCAGCATGCCATTCAAGTAAACAAAGTTTAACTACCATTACTTGGCAGCATGCCATTCAAGTAAACAAAGTTTAGCTTCCATACAAAAATATACTTCCATACATAAACAATGCTTACATAGTTGATACTACCACTAATTTCTAAATCCTAATTGAGCTGGAAAAGCTTTGGACTTGGTTCACCAGTTTTCATCCCAAGTCTCATACAAATAAGGGCAACTGCAATTCCAAATGCAAACCCATAGAAAAAGTGAAACATAGACTCCAACTTCATCTTCTTAATCACACCATTTTCTTTTTCAATTATGATTTCTAGCCTTTGGATTTCACTCTCCTTCTTATCCAATCTTTTCAATAGCCCTCTAATAATTCTGGAAACACGCTCTGAGACATCGGAGTCAATCCATTCAAAATACCTATAGCTGTCATTACCCTGAAATGAGTGTAACAAACAAAAACAAATGAACTCTGTGTTTGTAAGTGTTGGTATTTAAGTAAAATGGTTTTGTATACTTACTCCATAATGTGGACAAGCTCTATATCTCTTCCCTGGATTCGCAGTACTCCACGACATCTTGACCGGAGCCAATTTGTCGCACCAACATCGCACTTCTGCCATCCATTGTGTTGAACCCACAGTGCTTGAAGACATTATCTTCAATAGCGTCTTCTATTCGAAGAGGTAGAAAGCTGTCAATGGCAACTTCAATTCGAAGGTTAGGGTTGAGGAGTGGTGGCGGAATTGCGAGACTTGGCGGAGGAAGGGAGGAAATACAATTGGCCGAGTAAATGAAATGTGAAATTACATGTATACCCATGCTTTAAACGGTGTTAGAATTACAAACTCACGGAAGGACCAAAACGACTGCGGGTCGAATAATTGAGGGACCAAATGTGTCCAATTTGAAAATTAAGGACAACATTGCATATTGGCTACTAATTGAGGGACCAAAAGTGCGTTTTTCCCTATTTATATATTTTAATTTAAAATTTTAAAATATAAAAAAATTTGTTCTATTTACATTTATAATATAATAATTATAATATATTGTTATTTTTCATTATTTATTTTTATTTTGGACATCTGTATAAAATATATAAATAAATTTTTATATTTATATATTTTAATTTAAAATTTTAAAAGATAACAAATTTGATCTATTTATATTTATAATATAATAATTATAATATATTGTTATTTTTCATTATTTATTTTTATAAACAATAATTTGTTTTTAAAAATAATTTTATTAATATATTTATTAAAATTTTATTTGAAACCTTAATAAAATAAAAATTAAATCAAGATGAAAGGAGAGCCTACTTATAGGCTCCTCTATATATAATGTTCCACATGGCTTATGAAATAAAAAGTAGCCTTGAGTGGCTTGGTTCATAAGATCAACCTAATAAACTTTATAGATGATTTTTTTTTTTTTTCGTCATAACCCATAATTTTTAAAAAACCTTTTGCAAGTTAACTCATTAATTATGAATTAAAGTTGACATCCTTACCTTTTAATCTCTAATAAAACCTAAGTTTCATTTAGCTAACAAGATAAATAAGAATACCTATATCTAAAGAGTTCTACTATATGTGCTCCAAAATCTTACTCCCTAAATTTTACTCCCTGAGGTGGCGTGTTCTGATAAGCTATATTTTTCATGTGGGTCCCAATAAAGTGTCTACATCAAGATTTTGTGTAAGGGAGTAAAATTTAGGAGTATAAAGTGAGAGTAGACATACTATTTTCCATATCTAAAAGGGGTGTTTCTTATTCCAACAGTTATACCATGGACCCGGGTTCACCTTGCAAGATGGACCTAGGTCCAAAATATAAAATTTACATGTAGAATATTTATAATTTGAATTATAAACATTGCGTGTGTAAATTGTGAACATTTAGTAGTTAAATAATTTGCCTTCTAATTCGCATGCCAAATTGAAATGCTGGCCTTCACGCTTTTGACTTTCATATTGGACGTATTCACTATTCAGTAATTCAGACATGGATAGTCAAATACTATATATGAGAAATGAGAATATTCCTTTACAAAATAAGAATTTTTTTATTTTTTTTTGAAAATCAATAAGAATTTATTTAAAAACAATAAAAGAGGAGGTTTTCCTTAAGATGATCGAAACCTCTATTTTGGAATTTCTGTTGTAGACTTCCCGCGTTCTTCACCGTCGGAATCCACCTAATCCAACAACTTTATTTAATAATAATTTGACTTTGTTCTAAATGATTTATATTATCTTATTACAAAATGACATTTTTGCCCTTTCTTCCAGCCTTATTATTTTACTAGTGTTTTATCCCCTACAATGAAAATGTTACAATAAAAATTACATCAAATCTAATTAAGTTAACAAGACCATCAATGCCAATTCAATGGCATCAGCTTCTAGCAACTACATACATAAATTCGATTGGAGGGTTATGATAAACGTGAAGGCCAAATTAAATGTCACGTTATTATGATGCGTAGCCAACTAATTCTTCATTTAGTTCGATCTGTAATTGCATTGATATCTTTCGGGACTTGTATATAAAGGTTGCCGTTATGATGATTTATATCTAAATAAAGGATTGGTCATGATCCTCCCTTGACACAAAATTGGTTCGGTAGACTATAATTAACCCTAACTTTATAAATAATGTTAATCCAAATCATATTCTTTTCGGGGCGTTTAGTTGGAGGGAAGAAATTAAGTGGAAAAAGAAATACAATTTTCACGGGAGATGAATAATGTGGAATAAAGTCGTAATTTAAATTTAGTGTTTGGTTGGCAGAAATAGAATTACTGGAAATTTTAATTCCAATGTTTGATATACATGGAATTGAAAAGGAATAAGTAGTATATAAAGTCCAAACTATCCATATTACAATTCTTTCTAACGAAGAAATTTACTTGCCTTCGAAATTATGTGGGAATTGAATTGTCCCTCCAACCAAACACCCGTTAAAAAAAAAAAAAAAAAAACCATACTCTTTTTTATTCTTTCCAAAAGGTTGAACCCCAACACTAAAGGCCCCCCACGACAGAGCATCTAGGATCCCATGTAAATTATGGTAACTCAACTGAACATGAACCACAGAGGCTAGACTTTTGCTTACTGTGTGCACAAGAGCCCTTCTCCCTTTGAGAGGTTGCTCCCACACTGTCACTGGTGAGACTCGATCATTAGTCATTTTTTTCAATTTTCACCTCTATGACCACTTGAGCTGTCCATGCAGATACTCTTTTTTATTTAAATTACAATTTGTTGATCGTAACTTTAGTTTTGTTGAAAGAATGGCGACGAATGAGAGAAAGTAGCTAGGGGTAGTCCTGTACTTATGCTCATGGCGTGTTGACAAAAGGGTGAGAATGAACTACTTATTTTCAACTCTACTTACAAATTAAGATGATAGAGTAGACTACGAATATATTAAATTAAAAAATAAATAAATAAAAAGAATATTTTTTTTTTTTAAAGAAGAAAGAATATCATAGATCGAGGTCCACCATAAGCATTGTGAACCCTAATGTAAATTATACCCAAACATTTAACATATTATATACTTTTTAACAAAATATTAATATATTCATTTATTTTGTATATTTAGTTAAAAAAAATTTTATGTACATCCAATTATAACTGAATGTATATAATTTTTTAAAAGTGAAATGACAATATATATTAATTATATATGCATAATCTAGATTAAGGTTCACCATACAAACATGATGAATTGATGGTGATGGTCCACAATACAATTTGTGATTGTTATATAGATGGTACATAAAATGAGATATTGAAATCTTCAAAAAAAAAAAAAAAAAAAAAAAAAAAAGATATTGAAGGACTCGATCTGTCAGTCTGTCCTAAAGGCTAAAGCAAAATGCTAGGAAATAGAGAAACCTACTAAAAAAACAAAATTAGAAAATAAAATTAAAGCATTCTATAAGGAGTATAAAAGGATCACTCTATGTAGTGTGAAATGAATAATGTGATAGATGCAATATCAAAATTGTGCCAATTAAGCATTGACAACAATATAATAATCATCAGTCTAGAAACGTGAAGCGTGAAAAATATCATGTGCGATAGTATCAAAAGGTACCAAACATCGACAAAAGTAACAAACCATCCAGCAAATTGTCATAATTAAAAAAAAAAAAAAAAAAAACCTGTAAAGTGCGCGTTGCATTCTTTTCTGCGTTTTTATTGTCATCTACCTTACTATATTATCAATTTATCCTTCAATTTGTTGCATCATTATATATTATTAAAAATATTTGAACTCAATTTACTTATATAATTACTTCAAGTTTAACCATTACAACACATTATTAACTTGTTAGCTTGTTTGTTATTTTATTTAATATTTAACATTAATTTGCATATTCATCTTATATCAATTCACATTTTATGTAATGAAAGTTCACGTTTTGCATGTTATGATACACCAAGCATAAGCACTTTACGTACCTAGATTCAATGCACTTTAATTTGCAAGACACACACACATATATGTAAATAAATAAAGTATATAGAAAAAAATCAAATTAATTAATACTAATTAAGCAAAATTAGATACTAGTTTTATTTTTACATACTATAATACGTTCTTATTCAAATTCAAAATTCAATCATACCTCATATAAGAAACTCATTTAACGTCCGTCACTCCATATCCTCCATTTACAATATAATATTATTCACTTAAAGAAATTTAATATCGTATTACCTCGATTCATAATTATTCTCATTAATTAAATACCATATTTTGAAAGATACATATATTTAATATATTAATTAACTGACATACATTTCTAATTCTATTTAAATTTTTTATTGCAACGAGGAAAACAATTTTTAAAGTGAATATATTATTATAAAGAAATACGGATATCAATATATTTATATATCATACAAAATAATTATCTCATGTGGTCCCCTGTGTCCTTGATCTATATGAATGCCATTCTACTACTCCATATTCACTTCTCTCTCTCTTCTCCATACTGATAGTCGTCACTCCACTGAGAAAGAAGAAGAGAAGCCATTGGGATTCTAAGAAACTGACAAAATCCCAGAAACAAGTTGACGACATAATCCTTAGTACTAAACATAGTATCACCGTTTTGTAAGTTTCAGGATCCAATCATATCATTTGCCTCGATCGGCTCGCTCGCTCTTTTATTGCTTGGATTTTACTCTGCCATCATTTCTTGAAGAATCTATATCTATGTATCTGTGTTAGTTGAATTAAGCGTGCAGATTAGAGGTTTTGAAGGATTGATGAATGGGGAAAACCGGGAGAGATTGTGCGCAGATCTACGCGATTTACGGCGTCGATGATTGGCAGACGACTCTTTTCCTCTTCCTCCACGCGGTGTTCTTCTCGGCGATGTCTGTGGGTTTCCTGGTTTACTTCGAACCCATTTGCGTGTTTTTCGAGAGTTTCGTGCCGGGGTCGGGGACGGCGAGATTCGCGGCGGGATTTACGGGTTCAGTTACCGCGCTTTCCGCGGTGTGTCTGTTTTACGCCGCCGGGAACATGTTCTACTCCTCCGTGGCGCTGCGGTGGGAAATGGCGCAGCGGATGGTGGGGGCGGTGGGGGACTGGACGTGTGTGAAGCACGCGCTCGATTTGGGG